TTCACAGCCCTTCCCAGCCACGCTCCATGCTCAGCTCCTGCCAGGAGACCAGCTCCTGCATCTCTCACTCACTTACTAGAGTCTCAGAAACTCCTCTTTGCCCTGCTTCTTACCCTGCCCTACACACTTGGAAAGGGCTCCTCAGAAGCATCTACAATGTAATTTATTATTGTCTCTTCAAAGATTTTAATAACCTCCTCTTCTACAACACCTACCAAACCTTGACAAGGGGTATCTAATATTAGACTGCTGATGGGTTGAGGACACCGCTATCAAGATGATAGATAGTAGCTCATTGTTTCTTTTTGCTTCCTGTCTCTGTCTGTTTAGTCTTCCTGCCTACACTGAGATCCCAGTCCTCTGGGTACAGAAACAGTGGTGGGTGGGTTATATTAGTTTATACATAATTTAGCAAAATGGGGCTAGGCTCTGCAAACAGGAGTCCTGGTGCTACAGAAAATAAAAAGTAAACACAGCATCACGAATCAGAGTCTGTTTTGCTAAGAGTTTGAAATGACTACACAAAGAAGGTTCAATGATTACTTGTTTCTCCCTGTATACTTTTGTATAGGGATGATTTTAATGCACAAACGTTGATATTTTATTTTGAGATTAGCAAGTACCAACAAACAGCAATTCACACCAAAAAATAATATATAAGGAAAAGTAAACTAATCTCTGCCCAAACATAACAAATACCTCTCAGTGACAGAGTTTTATAAGACTACACACAGAAAAATAATAAATGAAAGAAAGCACAGAGACCACATACGTTCATCCTAAACTCTGTGTCACCCAAAACCAACCTATTTATTAAGTCTGGCAGAAAAGTTTTCATTCAAGCTGTTCGTCATGTGTAATGCGGGATTCAGCAAAACAACGTCTTTCGCAGAAAGAACATTTCAGATTTTCATCAAAAGTACTGGTTTAGTTTTGGTTTTGTTTGACAGAAAATGGGAGGCGAGGGGCAGGGGGAAGAAGGAGAGAAGATTAGGGAGCAAATCTAAGCAAATCTACTAGAATGCCCTTGAAGTAGTTAATCTGAGTGCAGGCATGGAATAGTTAATTATTTCTGCATGGAAAGCCTTTTTGCTCTGTTTCTTGGCTCATTGTCAGAAAGGACAAAACAGACTTACAAAGCATGTTCCAGAAAATGATGGGACTTGGGGAAACTGCAGATACAGTCATCCAGGACAGTGACTCTCTCTCCGCGTAAACCCAGCGAAAGCAATCTGCCAGTCTCAGAATACGATGGCTCAAAGACAGCAGAGAGAGAAGTGATGGTCAAGCTGTGGCAGTTTATGGAGCAAGACTGTCACTCAGACCAAAGTCTCTGCTCTCCAGAAACAACTGTGGGGATACCACACTACCACCCAGGATCAGCTCCCTCTGCCAGCAAATGCAAACCCAAAGCACGTGTGTGTGTTATGACTCATATAAGCACCGCTGTTAAGATATTTGCAACATGGTCACAAACATTTTATTTTGCTTCAGAGAGAGTTTTTTTAGAAGCGAGTACCACAAAGAATCTGATCCTTTGCTATTTTATTTCCCTTTGACACTGCTAGGCTCAATAGTGTATCTAACATTGAAGTAAAATGGTGATTAAGCTGTCCCAACATTTCATTATTAATATCATCTTCCTCCTTCTGTGAAGCTGAACTTTAGCTTTCAAATAACACCCCTTTCAAATTCCAGGCTGGTACAGTTTGATTTGTGAGGCCTTTTGTAAGAAAAGGTGTGAAGCACACAACCTGAATATATACTTTCTAGTTCTCTTTTCTTTGTCAGTTTAGACTCTTCACTTGTATCCATACTGAGCTGCTAAATAATTTTTAAATATATTGCTGACAGGGACACCTTCCTAGTTTAACTCACAAAAATTATATGCCTGCACATGACATCCGAGAAACTCTACAATTTAAAATAAACTTGTCATCAATTTTGCAATGAGAAGTAGCAAATTTGAAATTTCTAGTAGAAAAGAACATATAAAATGGCAACTATTTGGTGGCAAGTTCATTTTAGAAAACTGTGAAATAAAATGTAACCTCAAAGTCTAAGCTTTGAAGCACCTCACTTCCTATCCTGCAGCATCTGAGATACTCACCTACCCTGGCAAACTGACAGCTCTCAAGCTGACACCAAGCCAGCAACACCCAGCGTCTATGCCAGGGCTCTCAGTCCTGTAGCAAAGAGCCTGCCTTCCAGGAAGCCCATCCTGGAGCAGTCTGTGCACAGTTGTCCCCAGGACTCTCAGAAATCCAGAATCCTTGGCAACAGTCAGCCTTTCAGTTTTGGCAAACCAGACTTTCCAGTAACAAATTGGCATGTTAGAAATTGCCCATCTTGCTCAAACCCAAAGTGAAACAGAGTTTTGTCACACTGGGATTGCTGGTAAAATGTTATTTAAAGGCAAACCAGAAAAAACCATAAGTGGCTGAAAACAACGTTTAGCTTCCCCAAACCCACTTCCTCCACGTGGGTCCAAATTTTATAAATTTACACCCTTACAGAAAACGCTATACGAGAGAAAATGCTGAGAAAACTTAGGTTTTAGCATACTCCTATCAAAACGTGCCAACCAAACTGAACAGAACATGCATAAATAACAATAAAAATTAAAAACAAACAAGCTGGAAACTCCATTACCTCATCTGAAGTTTTCCCAGTCTGACAGATAAATTACAATTGTTAACCTGTAGTTATTTACTTATTATGCCTCATACCTATTTCTGACATATTAAAATGAAAATTGTGCTACAGAGGTAAACTGATGGAAAACTTTGATGAAAATATACGAGCTTCAGGTCATAATTATGCAGTGACTCCTAGAAGAAACCAAAGAGGTGAAAAATGAAACTGAATTCCAGAAGCTGCAGGTTAGACATATTTTTGCTAATGGAAATGCAGAAAAAAAGAATTTTCTCTATTTTGACTTTATGAATTAACCAATTTGGTTTACTACTTTGAAGAAACACATGTTAAAACACTTTCTTAAACCTCTTAGCTATTTCTCATATACTCTGACAGCTACAGGATGGTAAGGTAAAGTGAAAAGAAATAGTCTCCTTCATCAGCTGGACTGCAAAATTTCATGTTTACTCGCACAGCTGGAAAGCCTTGAGCCTGTTCCAGTACATGGTGTTGATGAAGAAGCAAATCATAGGTCTGTTTGGGCAAATTGCAAAACAGTTTCACCATCCCTGTCCACTGAAAACCAATGATTAGAGGAGCAAGGCAGGTTCAGATCAAGCTTGCAGTGTTTTGACAGAGCTATGTTTGTGTCTGTGTGTAGACCCTTTACTGGGGAATCACAGAATCACAGAATGTTAGGGGTTGGAAGGGACCTCAAAAGATCACCTAGCCCAACCCCCCTGCCAGAGCAGGACCACCTAGAGTAGATCGCACGGGAACACGTCCAGGCGGGTTTTTAACGTCTCCAGAGAAGGAGACTCCACAACCTCTCTGGGCAGCCTGTGAAGGGTGAAAACCAGCAGTCAGGAAAAGTGCTCACACACAGTTCGACACGGGAACTTAGTCCCTTGGTTTCAGGAACACATCCTCCATTATTACTCAGTAGAATTTTAATTTTTATTCAGATATAACCTGTCCCAAGTACAGAAAAGCAAGAATCCTGAGAGGATGGCTTCTATTGTAAATATTTTCCACTGCAGCTTCTTACAACAATGAACAGGTTCAAGTTTACTCCTCCTCCTGCTAAAGTCAGAGTATAAATCACTACTCACTTTTATAAGATCATGACAGATTTGTACATTTCTTCCCACCTACCAGGCCAGAGGAAACAAAGGGATCCCTATGTGGAGGGAATCCCTTTTTCAAACAGGCATTAAATGATCCATGAAAGTAATACCGTTATTCTTCAAAAAAAAAACCCAACCAAACAAAAAACAAACAAACAAAAAAAAAACCACCACCCTGGAACAGCACAATATACAAAAGTGAGCATCCAAAATCAGCAATGAAAATTCTGAAGCCCATCCTATGCTCAGCACTCCTAGATCATACATTACAATTTCTCTTCTAAACACAAAGATTTTCACCAAATTCATTGTCACTGCTTAGTATTCACTGAACATGGAAAAGCCACACACTCAGATGCTTGCAGAAGAAACTACCTTCATTAAAACAAACTGCTGTCCTCAGCAACTGCATGCATGCATTCCCAGATGTAATACACCAGGCTCTCCATTTGTGACAGGGAAAAAGGAAGGACCACTCAGAGAAACAACAAAGCAAGAGCAAACTATATAGCCACCTCCTCCGTCGTCTCAACCATTTTCCATTATAAGTATGCACCTAAAGAGCATTTTAAGAGGTTATGATTATGGAGAATGGGAGGAAATAACATGACAGAAGGAAAAAGGAGCAATTCATCATTATCAGCATAGGCTTTGTTCAGGTACATGGCCCAGCCTTGTCCTGACTCTACTGGAAGAAAGCCAGGGAACATGAGCCAGAAGCAAATTACAGTGTGTCCAGCCAAGACATCAATCTGGACAGCAAAGGGAACTCAGAATATGCCACAGCAAACAACTTCTACACAGTTTAAACACAGCCACAGAGACCAGCTCCTCCAGAAACCCTAGCAGAATGGACGTTATCACTGCTTAGCAGCACTGTGGTCCCAATGCAGGTGCATTTAGTGTAGCTGGGTCTTGAAATGTATTACTGGTGCACTATTAGATCTGGCTGTGTTCAAGTCAACTCCATTAGAAGTTCACCTGCACTACATAACTTACGTTGTCAGGCCTTTGTACGTGTGTTGAGGGACTAATTACAGTAAAGACAACCAAGAAAGGACATGGTCTTCCAATTCCCTCAATGTTTTGTGTGAGCATAAAATCTTCTCCCAAAGAAAACAAGTGTTTCAGTGATACTCGCAAGACCTACCTTGCCCAAACCAGGGGTGTCTTTCACTTTGCTGACTGCCCTCAGCAAACATGGTGGTGCAGGGGGTGGGGAAGTCTGAAGAATACTGCTGAAGCTGGTGGAGAAGAGAGGAGATTCAGGAACAGATGACGCAGAAGGTCTGTGCTTCTTCTTTTTGGAAGAAAGGTTCAATTTCTGAGCAGCTCTGTGAGAAAAATGACAAGAGTAAGCTAAAATAACCCCAAACTCATCAACACAAGCAGACAAGAATAAAGGTATTTATCAGCTTACTATTTATGTAGAATCTCAGTTTTGACCTCATGGATCCCAAAGGTTCTGTAATTCTTGTTCTTCACTCATTAGTACTAGTTTAATAGTAGCAACTTCACAAAGTTGCTCCAAATTTACACAGTCTGCATTAAGTAGAGTCACAATCAGGCCTCTGTCACTACCTCATCTGTTGAAACAATTCAGCTGGCAAGAAAGCTCCAAAACCTCTAATTAAATCAATGAGCTATATGGCAATTTCTGGTCTAAAATTAAGTTCAGTCACCAAATGGTTCACACAGAATTGTGTCTCATTAATAAGCTTCTGATTAGAAAATGAATACTTTGTGCAGTGTTTGGATGTAAGCAGCCACTGTTAAGTTAATTAGTATTAAACGCTCAGGTGAATTTTGCTGAAGTGTAAGAAGCCTTGCACTGGCTGTTTGAAATTTTTATCACTTCTTAAAACATACACTGGTCTAAAAACTGAACAAATGGTGACCAACGAAAATATTGCTGTTTGCAATGAGATGGAGACAATCATACCAACTACAGCTGCATTAATCACTAAGCAGGGAAAACAGCGGAGGCTGGTTTTAATAGTATGGTATTCTTAGATAATAATGGTAAAGTTTGTATAGGCCTTGATTAAAAACCCTAAGCTTTTCTGGAAGAGAAACATCCAGCACTTTTGTTTTGCAAAATGTTTTATTTTGAGACAATTCAACATGCAGCCTTTGTTGCAGCTGTTTAGTTCCAACACTCGTGCATTCTGAGCTGCTCAGGGATAATGTTAATAGCAATCAAGCTGTCCCATGGTTTTCCTTTTGTAAAATGAGTGCTTTAAGCGGAGCGGGTCAACTGGAGCACCATCTCAAAGGAGAGATAGATATAAGGATTCATGAGGCTACTTTCAGGTTGTTTGCTTTGACAGACAAATTGTGATTTAAAATAGATATAAAAGTAGTCTGTGCTGACAGTAGCTCTCCTTACTTTGCTGAAGTGTGACAGTCAAGACCAATCATTCTAAATCCTCCTAAGTTTTAAGAAGCTTTAGCTCCACTACACTGGTATCAGTATATATTATCCATCACTGAACTTACAAAAGTAGTTACATTATTTTATCTCAAGGAGTCAGAGAAAAAAGATTGCACACACACACACATGTGTGTACGTGTATATATATATATACATGCACAGAGACTCATTTCAGTATGCAGGTACCTTGTGTTTGTATCGGATGTCTCAGACACACGAACAAATTACTGCTGGGCATGAAGGTGCCGTACATTACCTGGTTGTGTGCACACTGTGTGCCCACCAATATGTATTCTTTTAGCCTATGGCAAGTGCAAAGCACTTCCAGATAGATTAGGTTTTTATAAAAGAAAAATACAAGGAGATTTTAATTGACCTGCACAGAATTACAACTGAGAAGTTTCTGTACCATGTCCTTATGCTTGTCCTTCCCCTTCCCTCTGGCCTAAAGGCTGCAGCTCATACCTGGCCCTCTCTTTTAAAAGTCTCCTTTCTGTTTCATAGAAAACAATTAAAATACATTGGTCAAAACCAAAGCAAAAAGCACCAATTTTTCCTTTTCTTAGCAACATTTCAATGGTTTGAGAGGACTCAATGATTTCAGCTTCCACACTGTCCACCACTAATGCTTTTATGAAGTTGTCCATGCTGAATCACAATTTTCTGTATGTATTAGCTTAACTATATAATTATTTTAAGCAAAATCTTATACTATGTGCAACAAATGAAAACACAAACATTGGCCAAACACACCAAAAAATTTACTCCTATGGTCAAGCTGAGTAGTCCAGTCTTAAATATAGGCAGTGGCTCCACCAACTGTAGTCATACATCTGGTCTCATTAACCAGCCTCAGGTGAAAATACATTTCCTAAAAGCTATTTTGTAAGTTGACTGACAGAGTCATTACCCCTTCTTGCCACAAAATGCTTCTCCAGCATTTGCTGTTCCTTTTACAAAGCTGATAGTGTAATACAAAATACTTTTTGACCCAACCAAGCCCATAGCTGGCATTTTCTTAAAGAAAAAACATTGTTAGAGGTACCTGGCCTTTTCAAAACCTTGAAACCATATTCTAGTTTGACAGTCATAACATTTGAGATTGCATTCAAATGGAAGAACCTGCATTTTCCTTCATATTTTTGGCCTGCAACTAGCAAAATATATGAAAAAGCAATGAACTATTTCTCACAACTTCATGGGGTTTTCTGTTTTTCCCCAAGGAGAGAAAAATCAATGCATGGCAGGCTAGAAAAACATTTACAAAGCCTATCAGACTTGACTGAATTTTGAAGCGAATCAAAAGGGCAATAAGCCTCAGGTAATTCCCAGAGCATTTAACTTGGAAGAGAAGGATCTTTTAACCAGACATAGGCTGCAATATGACACACGTGTACACTGTCACTTTCATGTGAGCACATTTGCGTGAGTAAAATCATTCAGCTTAGGTGGCTAGTATTGCTCTGAAGACAGTTGGTCATGCCACCTGATGCTGATTTGGGTCTGTGATCTAGCACAGGAGGTTAGAAATTCTCACATTTTACTTTTCAAGGCAAGACAGAGGCCTGGCTTTCCCATAAAGACTCTCTGGACCACCAGACTTCTCAGACAAAGCAGCAGGCAGGACCTTGGGACACCTGATGTCACCGCGGCTCATGGCCTGTCCAGCCCAGCCAGCAGCTGTTTAGACTCTGCTCTTTGTACAGGAGTCAGCTAATTCATTTTCATTTAATATCTAGTATAATAGGACTCTAATATCCTCTTGAGACTATGCATGCTACTGCAGTAACGGTAATGGCGATGACAGCATGGCTTTATGTACTGACAATAAGCTGATCATACTTCAAGTTAAATTTCACCCCACATGAACCAAGTGATATCAGCTATGAACTACTCAGGGGTGTGCAGTGGGCTCCAGTGCAACGCAAACCATTTCCCTGCTGTGTGTAGTATGGCTGTGGTAGGGATTGTGTCCACGAGGCACTTGAGGAACTTGATCCAAATTAAATGTTTGAAGTGCGTAATTTAAACTGTATTAGACTGCTGTGTAGACACATCTTTCTAACAGAACTAACTTTAATGTCAATTTACTGTATTATCTTCCAAAATAATGAAGATTTAATCCAGTTTACCTAATACATTTTGGATTCATACCTTTAGTTAATTTGGATTATTTTTTCCTGAGAGTTCCTAAACTGGGGAGCAGTAAACAAGCAGCTGGAGACTTCTTGAAAGTTTTCAAGATATGTGGCAGAGGAAATAATCACAAGATCAAGATTTTAGATGGCAGGAGGGGCGTTAGAAAGCTGATTAAAGTTCAATCCCAATAAAACTGATGGATTGCTGGCAGGAAAGGGGAACTGCTTTGAATGTCCCCCTGATTCATAGCAAAGATGGAGCTCATTTCTTGAAAGGACATTCTCTGAAAGGACACTCTCTGAAAGGACATTTTGTTTTTTAAAATATAAGTTTAATAAGATATACCTTTGGGCAGTTGGAAGGCTTTCTACCTCCTGCCTATGCGGAAATGGCGATACATTTTTTCCCTTCAAACTCCATGGGCTGGCTGGGATTTTCAAACACATTCGTTGTAGAGCTAACTCCCCTACACTGGAAGCCAATTCATGAGTGATATGAACTTTCTGAAAGCTGAAAATCCTCTGCGGGATTCACTGAGGAAAGGGAAGTAAACCAGCTTAAAGGCAATTCTGAGACTCGAGGGGGCAAAGTCTCTTTGGAAACTTGTCTAGAGAGATGAACGAACAGAAATGGATTAAATAATCCATTTTTAACACAGAAAAAAGGCACTGCTAGGGGTGATGCCAAGATCCCTGCTAAGAAAGTTATTCATACTCCTTATAAGCAATACAAGAATGAAGTGGATGAAACTCTTTAGACAAAATAAAAGGCATCATGGAAAGCTCTGTAAATACCTTGCTTAGAGAAGCCTCTGGGTAATGGTTAAAGTACAACATATGGAACAAACTGTGAAACAGTTTGAAAATTCATGGTTTCTAAATTAACTTTGGCCGCTCACAAAAAGCAACTTCAGAATATGATAACAAATACATACATCCACTTGTTGCTAATAGTCAGGGGAGAAAAAAACCCAAACCACCAATGGTGTGATACAACACTTAAAGAAAAGAACAACAAATAAATCCTCCCTGCAATACATAATGCTCATATGCCTCCAGCTCGAACAGAGTGGGCTGGGACCTCATTTGGCACAAATTCATATAAGATCATGAACTTTAGTGAGCATGGCTATGCCAACTCATGACGTATTTGCTTCCACTCACTTAAGTAAGAAAACAGACACTGCTAATAAAATTCAAGGGACACCTATTCAGCTTGATAAATTATTTTTCACCAACACATCATCCAAGGCAAAATTAAAACTTTAGGACTCACTGTCAAAATAGAGGTCAGTAAGGCCAGCAGATTCATTAAATTCAGAAGGAAATTAGACATTATGTTAATACATAAAATATTATTCACACTTGTGTCATCAAAGATCATCATTGATAAGTAACACTGACTCTTATGCTTCAGTACCTGACATGCCCCTTCAACCCTGACATCTGAAGAAATTTCCTTAGGTGCATATCTCTGTGTAATTATTCATTACTGGAGTTTCATATTACACTATGAGGCATCCAGTACTTATCACCCTTGGAAACAGAATTCCAGATCATAGAGGCCAGTGAGCAGGCATATCTGTTTCAGTGTCAAAATAAAAATTGAAAATATGCTCACTTTCTTATCATGTTTCCAGAGAGAAAATAGCACCCAAGCTGTGGAGGGTAAACAGTCATGTACTAGCAAACCTTTTGCAATTTTCATTAAAACTAAAAATCTGGTTTTCTTCTTTATTTGGAGGCATAAATTTCTTTTTAT